AAGTGTTGTCGTCGCCTGGCTGGCTGTACACGGCTCGTTCGGTCGACGATGTAAAGACAATTTGAATCAGTAACGTACACGGGGATGTTGGACACAGTGCAGATACAAGTAATAATGGGATTTTAAACAATTTTGTTGATGCTATTTTAGAGGTTTATTCAATCGTGATCGCACCCCACCTCTATGCTCTGTTGATACAAGGCAGTCACTCAACACCCAAAGCTTACAGTGGGTTGCGGCCGCGGAGACGTAGGAAAGGAGCGTTCCCTCATTTGATCGCGACCATTGTTGCTCCCATTAACGTTTAACGTGAAATATCGTGGCCAAATGGTGTAACTCTCAACCACAAAATGTAGCCGAGATTTGGCCTTCTTTTTCTATCAAATTACATCTTTTGTTACCGTGTCGGTGGAGGGGGCGGTCTGCTTGGGGGCATTACAGAGCACGTGACCACATAGGCGTAATAGCGTGTTGACAAAAGCAATTTTTTCACAACAGAAATGAAATCGTGACCATTAACGCGACTATTATTCATAATAATAATATTTTTATTGCCACGAATTCAAACATTTTTGGGATGCATGTTGTGGCAATCTCTCTTCTGCAATTGAAATGCAGCTTGCACATGCGGTTTGAATAACACCTAGAATAGTGGCAATTGCGTATGAGGCTCTAAATGCACCACAGCCCCGTCATTATTACTATATATATATATATACACACACACACACACACACACACACACACACACACACACACACACACACAGAATAATAGACAAAGTGTAGCACAGCAATCTGATATCTGCATCATAGAAAAAACTCATTTGCAGCGCTCGTCCCTGAATAGGCTTATTATTATCAGTATTATTATTATTGTTGTTGTTATGGTGGTGGTGGCGGTTGTAAATATAGTAACACCTTACTTTGTTCTCTCACAGTGAGTTCAAACTACACAGGAGGCGAGCCGAAGCGCTCTCGGACAGCTTACACCCGCCAGCAAGTCCTGGAGCTTGAGAAGGAGTTCCACTACAACCGATACCTGACGCGCAGGCGCAGGGTGGAGATAGCGCACACATTGTGTCTGTCAGAACGCCAGATCAAAATCTGGTTCCAGAACAGACGAATGAAATGGAAGAAGGATCATAAATTGCCCAACACCAAGGTCCGCTCTGGGAATAACACGAACGCCCAAGCTTTAACTGGCTCCACCTGACCACGCATAGAAATCGAGCCCATCTGTTCTTTGCTGCATTTCTGCCGTCCAAAACAACGAAGCTGTAGATAAAAACTGTGGACCTGATTAACCTTTACTTACTTGTTATCCTGTTTAGCCTGTGCATTGTCAGTGATGTTGTGGCCCTGTGACACAAACGGGAGTTCACCGAACGCAAAAACACTCGACCAAGATGTCCCACGTTAAATTTCCGATACATCATTTAAAAAAATAGTTTGTGTCAAATGCACGTTCACCTAAGTGTGGGTTTTATTTTGTCTACAGAAACACATCATTTCCTATTTTTCCTCTTTAATACCGTCAAATTCATAACAGTTGGTCATGTTCATGCTGTGGTTATAAAACTAAATGAATGCACCCATTCAATGGAATGGATTCAACGCGATTCTATCGTTTTGCCAGTCGTTAACCTAAACCACAACGTAACAGCTATCTTTACACCTCTGTGTGTGTGTGTGTGTGTGTGTGTGTGTGTGTGTGTGTGTGTGTGTGTGTGTGTGTGTGTATATATATACATACATACATACATACATACATACATACATACATACATACAATAAAACATGCGGATCTCTGGCTGACATTCCTCCCTAAATGCTTCCACAATGAAAGACTTTTATGAGCAAAGCGATCAACATGTATATGGTATTTATTGACCAAACGGACATTTTTGAATGTTTCATTTCATTTTAATACTTAGCATGAATAGCCATGACGACTATAGGGCTATAACAGTGTTAGCTGCCAGAAACTTAAAGACCGAAAAATTTATATATTTTCGGTTGCACATGATTGCGATGTGGTAAATTGACGTCATTCTCCCTCCCCCTTTTCCTTAAAATAATAAACGGATCTATGTGAGTTTAACACATATCTGCAACCGATGCACGGTTGAATTAAGTCCAAAGGATTTTTTTGTTTGTTTTTTGTGTATTCGTAATATATCCCAAGTACGCACTACAAGTAAAACGCGATACAATATTACCTCAGCTGCACTTTTAAAACGTTTTCTTTAGATCAAGCATTCTTATTTCAGTATTATGACGTGGTGTATCAAATAATAATTGCAATAAAATGCTCGGATCAGCTCCTTGAAAATGTTCAAAACGTATGGTCTAATAATGGCACATTGGGTCTATTCAGAGACATCAACAACCCCCCCCCCCAAAAAAAAGCCTTTTGTTGCATGCCTGACTGATTTGTTGGATAAATCGCGCACACATTCTCTCCCCTGCCCTTGTATGATCATTTATCCGAAGTGTTATTTTTAATATAAGTTATTCTATTTGCATTCCAAAGATCTTTTTTTTATCTTCAATAATAATAATAATAATAATAATAATAATAATAACAATAATAATAAAAATAATCATAATAATAACAGTGTTGAACGTGTTATACCTCACCAATATGTATGCTGCACATGTGTTCATATGCTGTTTTACGAATTTGTAAATACAAAATAAATACATGTCTGAAAATACGTTGTTTTCCAATATCCTCAATTTTTCTCTCAAACGTTATGTTATCTGCTGATATGTTTTTCCCTGATCATTTTCATATTGTTTTTGTTTTTTTAATGGAATAAACTTCGCTTTCATCTTGACAGCTGTTATTAAATGCAATGCTGAACGATGTGTCTAAAATGCATCCTATACAATGCATTGTTCAAATATGATTTCGGTGTTCCCCACAAACACAAAATGCGAGTTGTCTTGAGAAATCAGGGGCTGGCGATGATTAATTTTGCCTTGCCGCTCGTGATCTTGGTACATTACGTCCTGTAATCTCGTTTTAAATCATAACCCGTCCCACTGCCCCACCCCTTTCCCCGGTTAATTTAACGGCAGCGTGCAGCACGTTGAACGGTGGATGTGGGGCCGAGCGACTGTACTTCCATTTCGCTTTGGATAATAATTAAAATAATAATAATTTGGTTGCGGTATTGAATGCATTAATGAAGGGAATTTAGGCACAGCTGTTTATTCTTGTTCCCTGCCTCAGTGTTGTGTGAGCGCGTGTGTCGTATTTTTTTTCTCCTTTTATAATGTAAAAAAGGGAGAGGGTCGGCGCCATAGCTCAAACCCTGACAAGCAAATAGATAATCAACAAGACGAATGACTTCTTTTGTAAGGCTCGGCTCCCGTATTAATTTTCATTTTCTTCAAGAGCAGGTATCGAAAAATAAAGAGCAAGAGAGGGTGCGGGGCGAGAAAATAGCACTCCTCGCGATGAACTTTAAACTAAAAAAAATGTGCCCCCTAAATTGGCCCTCTCGTATTCCTCGGCCCAGAGAAGATTCCCCATTACACGTTGGCTGATTTCTCCCTGGGCCCCTTGCCAAAGAGACTCCCCTTGCCCATTTATCTATTTTATTCCATTTATGAAAGCCCATTGCACCGTGAAAAAAATCCCGCCCCGTATCAAACAGCACGCATGTGTTCAAAATGTCCAAGAAAACAAATTAGAATAGTGTCCCTTGTGCTTGTGTCCCGCTTGCATCTCGACGCACCTGCCTGGCCCTTTTCCAGCTTTTTACGCATGTGGGACAACGGTTGAACGTGCAAAATAACGACAGCCCTTCGCTTCAAATACTTTTCATGCATTTTACGTGGCTGGTGTAAAACTCACTTTTACTTCTACCCGCTGAAAAAAAATGGTGTTTTGAATTTTTCGGCAAGCGGCTGCGTGAAATAAAATCACTTGGATCCACATACATTTCTAAGTTGATTACACAGTACATCGAAAACGTATCAGAATCCAGATGATTGTATTGTCAGTCACTTGACGATTTGTTTTTTCAACCAATGCATGTAAAATACACGCTACCATATTGTCAAAATATATTTTCACAATCCCGCAACTCGATATATTCAATCTTAAAATAAATGATCA